ACAGGCATGCGCTACCATGCCCGGCTAATTTTTTTTTTTATTTATTGTAGAGATGTGGTCTCGCCAAGTTGCCCAGGTGGGTCTTGAACCCTTGGGCTTAGGCAATTCACTCACTTCAGCCTCCCAAGGCGTGGGATTACAGGCTGAGTCACCGAGCCTGGCCAATCCCAGTACTTTGGTAGGTGGAGGCGAAAGGACTGAGTGAGCCCAGGGGTTCGAGACTGGGCAATATGGTGAGACCTCGTCTCTACAATAAATAAAAAAATTAGCCAGGTGTTGTGACACACTCTTGTAGTTCCAGCTACTTGGAAGGCTGAGGTGGAGGGATCACCTGAGCCCAGCAGGTTGAGGCTATGGTGACCATGAGAGTGCCACTGCCCTCCAACCTGGACAACAGTGAGACTCCAACTAAAAAAAAAAAACAAAACAAAACCCAGGCACTTTCATTAAAGAGCTAAGTATAATAAAAGTAGAAAAATATTAGGAAAAAGATAGAAATTTTACGCTTTACAGTAATGTTGAGCACTTAGAAATATATTTGTTGAGCACTTAAAATATGCTTATTACATGTATTTATTCTGGGATTCCCTTTCTTGGCTGCTTTTTTTTTTTGAGTTGGGGTCTCTGTCACCCAGGCTGGAGTAGAGTCACAGTCATGGCTCACCGCATCTTCAACCTCCTGAGCGCAAGCGATCCTTCTGCCTCAGCCTCCCGAGTAGCTGGGACTATAGACGTGTATCACCACACCCACATTTTGTAGAGATGGGGTCTTACTACGTTACCCAGGCTGGTCTCTAACCCGTGGGCGCAAGTAACTCTCTCGCCTCAGCTTCCCAAAGTGCTGGGGTTACAGGTGTGAGCTACCGTGCCTAGCCTCACTTTCATGGTTTCTTTAGCCCTGCAGAAAGTATTAAGGCTTAGTGCATTTAAAGTTGTCAGTCTTTGTGGCTTCTGGGTTTTGTGCTAGACTTGAAAAGTTCTGGGTGTGCTTGATTGATACATCTAAATGTTGCCTGAGATAAATAAAACGCATTATTTTCTTCTTTTTCTGAAAAACTGCTAATACCTCAATAAAATAATTCCTTGGACCAGGCATGGTGGCTCACACCTGTACCCCCAGTGCTTGGAAGGCTGAGGCGTCTTGAGGTCAGGAGTTGAAGCCCAGGCTGGGCAACATAGCAAGATCCTGTCTCTACACAAAAATTAAATAAATGAATTAGTTCCTGACAAGAAGAACCATCTTATTCCCCGGCTCCTGGACATGCCCCATGTGTTCCTGCCTCTGGACCTTTGCTCGAACTGTCTGCACACCTGGAGCACCGTCTTTCCCTCTTTGCTCCTACAGATGCCCACTGATCCTGCCCTCCTACCCAGAGCACTTTCTGGGAGATCCTGTCACGCCCCAGGCCGGTTCTGAAACAGTGAAGCCGGAGATGGAGGATGCAGGCTGTGGCAGGATCGCACCCTAGGCCCTGGCATCTGGGCGACACAGCCCTGCCTCCTTCCAGAACGGCCTCTGGTGTCGCAGGGGCTTGCCCAGAGGACTGTGGCCCTGGCATCTGGCACCTGTGGCCAGTGCTCGCGGTGGACACCCAAAGTCCCCTCCCCCACCTCCCAGGCCCTCTCCTGGGGCTGGCAGCAGTGATGGGTGGCCAGCCTGGGGGTCACTCTGGCCCTGGGTGCAGCCAGGTGCCCACAGTCTGGGGCTAGGGACAAGGATGTGGTTGGGAGCACACCTGGCCTGGTTTGGAGCTGGCTCCATCAGAGTTGAGATCAGGGATTTGTGGGCTCAACGTGGAGCCAAGGAAAGAGATTTCATCCAGGCTCTGACAAGGGCCTGGCGCCGGGGTGAGGCCTGCGGGAGGTTAGGGCCTCCGGGCTGGTACAGATCCCTTGGTGCTCAACTCTCCCTGGGCTTGACTTGGGGCCTCTGCCATGGCTCTGGCTGTCCTGTAGATGGGGCAGTGCCCGCAGGGCTGAGCTGGGTCCAGCAGGTAAGATGGTCCACCCTAACACTGCTCCAGACCCATTGCGTGGCCTCAGGCAGTCCCCGCCTCCTCAGCTCTGCTCTTTCAGCCCCTTGTGCCTCAGGCACCTTCACAGTGTCCCTATGACTCCCACGTAGCAGGGGTCCTGGCCCTGCCCACCCTGCACACATGGCGAGGCGTGCAGGAAACTGCAGCCCAACGCTCTGCGGGCTGGATGACTCTGCCGCTGCCAGAGTGCGGCAGGTGGCCCTGCACCAAGTCAGGGGGGACAGCAGGGCTGGGAAACCTCTTCCCACCTCCAACCTGAGCTGCTGGGACCCTCACCTCATCACTCCCCAGAGCCTTCCTGTTCTTCCAGGACCACCTGCCCTCCTGGAGCATTGATGGGACCCAAGATGTAGTCCTGCGGGCTATGTGACCTTGACCTCTGCCCCCTCAGAGGTCCAGAACCCTCCCCTGGGATTGGTGGTGGCAATCCCCACGGTCCTCTCCTCTCTGCCTTCTCCTTGCCATGGGGCCAGGAGGCCCATCCCCCCCGTCCGCTGTCCCCTGCTGGTTACAGCTGGGCACTGAGCCCCCCGACGGAGGGATCGTGTGGCTGGGGATACCCAGCCCTTGCCCTGGCCAGGGCGGCCACGGGGGATGGGGCGAGAGTGGGAGGGTGTTCCGAGCCCAGGGTCCCCTCTTTCACCGCAGCCACAGACACACAGACCCGAAGCAGTGCTCAGCCTTCTATTGGGGTTCTGCCTCCCCGGGACAAGTGTCCGCTCTGCCTGCGTCTTCTGGAGCACATTCCTGTGGCAGGTGGGTGTGCTCTGGTGGCTGGATGGGGGGGAGGGCGGGGGACCCTGGTGAGCTTGTGCTTGTGTGGGGCTGCGCATGCAGCGGTGTCAATCCGGGACCGGGGCCCTTTCTGCCAGGGCAGCCAGGAATGGTCAGGCCGCTGCTGAGGCCTGGGCTTCCCCGAGGGGCCTTCACGTGGCGCCCCTGGGCCCTGCCCTGGCCCATCTCCCCAGAGGATGGTTTTGGAAGGGTCACAGAGGCATGCCTGCCTCCCGTCAGCGTGTGTCCCTTGCCGGGTGCCTCTCTCGGTCTGTTCCCTTCCCTGGGAGCTGGGACCCTGGCCACTCAAGGGAGGGTCCCCAAGAGGGTCCTGCAGGGTCGTGGCATGGAGCTGGGAGTGTGCAGGGGAGGGAGCGACTGGGACGGGGCCTGGCGTCGGAAGGGCTGGGTGGCCTAGTCATCCTTGTCCTTGGCGCCGTGTTTGAGGATGCGCGTGAACTCCACGTAGTTGAAGTTGCCTTTCTTGTCGATGGGTGCCTCGCGGTACATCTCGTCCACCTCCTCATCCGTGAAGCGGTCGCCCATGGTGGTGAGCAGCTCCCGGAGCTGGTCCTCGTGGATAAAACCTGGGGGCAGGGTGGGCACATGAGAGCAGGAACTTGGGCTGGGACACACACAGCACCCATGATCCCTCAGTCCCCGGCTGGTCCTTGCAGACTGGAGCGGCCAGAAGACAAAGCCCACCCTCTGGTCAGCTGGAGGAGCGGACATGGCAGGAGGACTCGGAATTCTACCCCTGGGCTGGAATGCTGATTCCTACTCTCCCTAACTGTGTGACTTTTGGCAAAGTATTTAACCTCTCTGTGCCTGTTTGAGCTGAAAAACTGGAGATGAAAATATGCCAACTGTGGGGGGATGGGCTGTGAGGGTAGTCAGGAACATGATCTGAACACGCTCAGGCCTACGGTGGGCCAACATGGTGCTAATGTTGCCAGCATCACCATGGCATGTCCCTGGGAAAAATGAGCAGTGGGACAGAGTCCTCTTAGAAGCTCTGAGGGTGGGGGCTGGTGTCTGTAGCTTGCTAGTAAGAAGGGCATGATGAGATTTGCCTCTGGAAGGGTCTGAAGCAGACGGAAGAGTGTTCGTCAGGCCAACAGGTGAGTTAGGAGTGGGACACCTTGGTGGATACGGGCTGCTGTGGCCGAGCCTTCCTGGGGAGAACAAGGATGCTGCCTGGCCTTTTTAGAGACAAGGCTTCACTGTGTCTCCCAGGCTGGAGTGCAGTGGGGTGTGATCATAGCTCCTGCAGCCTTGCGTTCCTGGGCTCAAGTGGTCCTTTCGCCTCAGCCTACCAAGCAGCTGGGACTACAGGCATGTGGGACAGGGCCTGGCTGGCGTGCTTTACACTTTTTGTAGAGACAGGTCTTACTATGTTGACCAGGCGGGTCTCAAACTCCTGGCCTTAAGCGCGCCTCTCTCCTTGGCCTCCCAAAGTGCTGAGATGACGGGGGTGAGCCGCAGTGCCCGGCCCAGCCTCACCCTGACAGTTCTGGTAACAGAAACGAGGAGACGGGGTCGTCTGCTCTGCCCTTGGCGGGAGGGGCCCTGAAGGCCCGGGGCGGACGGCCGGCACCACCAGCCCCCGGGCACGCGCGCTGGCTGCTGCTGACCTGAGGCCTCCTCGTCAAAGCAGGCGAAGGCGTTGCGGATCACGTCCTCCGGGTCGGTGCCGTTCAGCTT